TCCTTTCCCTTTCCCTTTCCCCCTCCCGCCGGGGCGGGGGGACCCCCGGAGACCCTCCCTTACTCTCCCCTCAGAGCCTCCCTGCCCGCTCCCTCGGGGGGCGCCGGGGAAGGAGACGGCCCCCTCCTCCTCAGCCGTAGTTTCCAGACCCCCCGACGGGCGAGGGGGGGTCTGCTTCCCGCCCCCCTCCCCCCCCGGCCGGCGGTAAAGAGAAGAGCAGTCTCCGTGGGGAGGAGTGGGGGGGACACGCACCGCGGGTACCTGCGGGGTAGGGAGGGGGCGGGCGGCTGAGCAAACCGAGGGGGGGCCGCGTCCCGCCAGCCGCGCCCCGTCCACGGCAGCGCAGGCCGCCCACCGGTGTCAAAGACGGTGTCAACGACACCAATGTCTTTGACGGTGAAGGTTGTAGATGGTGGGGAAAAAAAGGTGTTAGGGCAGGAGCAGGGTGACTCCGGTGTGGCTTACGGTCACCCAGGAACGTGGGGTTCACCGTGAGTGAAGGGGGTCTGCACATCAACTTCGCTGGAGCCATCATACCCCCTGCGGGTGTGCACAGTCTGGTAACTGGCCACCCAGATAAATAAATAAATAAATAGATGTATTCAAAGAGCTTGTTTTCACAAATATATATAAAAATGCACTTAGATATATTCTCACAGTGTATTTTCACCAGTAACGCACAAGTGGGGTAGCCGTTCTATGTAATTCAGCCTCACAATGTCCCTGCAAAGCAGTTTTAGGCCGATGTGGTTCAGTCGAGGCATTTTCACATCACAGAATCACAGAATGGTTAGAGTTGGAAGGGACCTTAAAGACCATCGAGTTCCAACCCCCCTGCCATGGGCAGGGACACCTCCCACCAGACCAGGTTGCTCCGAGCCCCCTCCAACCTGGCCTTGAACCCCTCCAGGGATGGGGCAGCATTGAACTCTTCTGCGAATGGCAGTAACTACTCAGCAGAGGACCATCATAACATGCTGCTCAGCTGTTTAAACCTTTATTTCCGACAATTTGCAAGCAATGTGTTGCCACTCCAACCTGTGTTTGTGCTCCCACCCACTGGGAGTACCCTACAGGTCCACTGGAGAAGAGGGTGTCATTGCTGTGATAGTGACGAGCTGTTTAAGGAAGGGCGGGCAGAAAAACATAGGAAATAAAGCTTTACTTATCCCTCAGAAACAAAATTCTGGGGAAATGTGTTCATCATCTGCTTGTACAGATGGGTCAACTAAACAATATGCTTATGAGTAGCAAGATCGCTATTGTAGATAACATTACTGGCAGAGCTATTTCAGTTGGAGGACTTTTTCATCAACAAAAGCATTTTCTTATTATAAACACAATGCCTACATTTAGCTGATTTTCTGTTTTACTTATGTGCCAGAATCTTTTTTACAGTATAGAATAGATTTTAAATGTCAGAGACACTAATACAAGCTGGAGTTCTGGTGGTGTAACAGATAGTTTATATTCCTTCCTTCCCCTCCAGATTTAAATACGTTAGAGCTTCCCTACATAAACCCCCAATTATCTGAAATTTTTATTATTACAATAATTATAAAATTATTATTGTCATCATCATCGTACTAGTTAAAAGGGAAATTAACACTGAAAACTGTGCCTGCACACCAGTATATTGATCTTATGTTGATGTAATTAGACCACAGAGTTTCAGAGGATTAATCACTTTGATGAGCAGTGTTTATCAATCCAGATTCATGGGTTTTGCTTAAATTCTCTTTTTTGGGCAATAATATTAACACAAGAAAATATTTTTAAAATACTATGAATGAATTTAAATAAATTGTAATACTATTTCAAATGCAAATATGTTAATAATGGCCATAGATCCTTCTCTGGACACTGCTACTGAATAAAAAAAAAAACTTCTTAAACTGTTTTCTTTTTTTCCCCCTAAAGTCTTTAATTTGAAGCAATTCTTTCTCTTCCCTAGTGGGACAGATTAATTTGTATATAAAAGGTATCAGCTGGCATATGTGCCAGAAAGTAACAAACAAAGCAAACAAAACTCAGATCATCTTACATAAAACACAGTATGTGTTTATTGAAAATTTTCAAGAGAAAGAAGCAAAATATATATTTTCATTGTTAAGCAAAAAACTGAAGTGGTAACGACAAAACACTTTAACATGTCATTAATCAAACTTTACATCTACCTGACAAAATATATATCAATCCATTTTAACTATTAACTTGGAAAATTAGAGTTTTTGAAGAAATATCAGATGTCCTTGAAAAGCAATTTAAAAATATGTTAGTATTCGTAAGTTGAAAGTGATAGCCACAAAGGTGCTCGTTTGTTTGTGCGTTGTCAAGGTGTTGCTGTATTTCAACTGATGTACATTACCATTTCTTACTTTCAGGATCAAAATAAATATTATGGTAATTTCCTCAGCAACTGATATATACCCATGTCAAATATAGTTTAGATAGAATAGTATTTTCTTTCATAAAAAAGTACTTTTTCATAAAAAAGTACTTTTTCTCATGATGTCTTTCTCTCAACAATTTAATAAACACAAAATCATGTTTACCTCCATCTACATGTAATTTCGGTAAGAAAAAGCATGCTTCACATATAAGAGGAAGATAAAGACACAGAGATTTCTTCTATGCTTTAAAGAGTCAGCTAAAACAGCTGTATTGCAAATTACATCAGTAAACTACTAGTTTTGCCAGCTTTCATCTGCACTTAATTCATTTGCGAGTATTTTGATTCAGTTAGCTAAATGAAGGCAGAGAGACTGGAAAAGTGTTAGTTTTTGTTGATAGGTTTGTCCATGTAAGGACATTTGTTAGCACAGCAAGGTTCATCAGGAATAAGGGAAAAAATCAAAGCAGCCTTGCTAGCAAAAATCTATCAACCATACCTCCACGTACGTGTGAAGTTGAATAGTTGGTGTGACATAGATTTTATAGAACAAAGTGTCACAGACTCGTTCTAAATTATTCTGAAAACTTGGTGCCTGTTTTCTCTTTACAAAAATTATGAATAATATGGTTCTTAAAAAAAACCACAGTCTGCCAGATTAATGCCTTTAAAGGTCCTAGAGGAGGACCTAAGACATTAGGTCCTAGAGTAGGACCTGTTTTCAAGAAGGGAAACAAAATTAATGTCCAATTCCAGTTCCTGAGAAGAGCTGAACACCGTTTCAGTAATAAGTAAATAAATAAATAAATAAAATCAGCATGAGTTCCTCTCATTTTTATTTTTTTAAACACTGGTTTGTAAGTGTACATACTATTTTCATGCTATATTTGAACATTAAGAATGAATTTTCCATCTATAGCTCATTTCACTTTGCTAGAATTCAGACATAAATACAAAGTAAAGGCATTAAAATTTTTAATCCTTTATACAACTTCAAGTTTTCCTTAGACTTTATAAACAATACAGAAATACACCAAAGAAACCCAAAAGTATGAATGAAAATGGTAATTTCCTTGTTCCTATTCTATCAGAAGGATTAAGTATTCTGGCTAATTTCAAAAAGAGAAAAAAAATAAAATTGTTCAGTGACTCAAACACTGACAAACAAAAAACTTTCCATTTTTAGCTTATATTAAACTTGATTTCTTTGCTGTTTAAAATAACTTCTGAATCAAAACACGTATCCAGCCTTTATGAATGCAGGTCAGATAATTCAGTACTATTCTCTGGCATTTTAAGCATATTTTTGATGATGTAAAGCTCAAGGTCCAAGACCGACACCGGGTAAAAGAGAGTAGGATTGGAATGTCTCGACAAAACTTTCATTAGAAGGAAGTTTTTCTTTTGTCAGAATGATAAAGTAGAAAAAAAATGTTTGATCTGGGGGGTGAATGTCACCAACCAAGGGAGCCTGTGATCAGAGGGCAGCTCTTCTTCCAGTGGCTTACACTGCAGCCCCACCTGAAAAATGAAGATTGAGCATTCAGCATTTCCACCATGGATGCCCTTTGCCAGCTCTTCTGGACTTTTTTTATTCGTTCTTTTTGAGACAACAGGTGGGAACCTCATATCCCCACAGCCTTCACCCTTTGTCTCACTCTCCCTTTTCCAGAGAGCAGCGGGATCACTGACCTGATGCTTTAGTTACACCCCAACCATAGAAACAGAGGAAAATAACTGTCTCTCAGACCCTGATGGCACTAACAGCCCTCATGGCCCTGACCCAACTTCCCTGGGTCCCCTGGGGTATCCCAGGCCATGCTGTGGCTGGATGTCCCCTGTGTAACCCTGCCCAAGCCTTCCCCAGGTGCCTCACCACCAGCAGCTGCCCCAGACCCCACTATGGCAGCCCCAGCCCAAGGGCACCCCAGATCCCTCAGAAACGCCTGTGAAGCTTCTCCACACACTTCCTGTGTTTCTCTTACGTCTTGGTCATTAATCCCATTATGGAACAAATAACATGAATTTGAGGTTTAAATTCAACTCTCTGGCAGCTAAGGGCCAGGGCTGGGTTGTTCCTGAAATGCTGGGAGCTGAGGGCAGCCTGAGTTGTCACCTCCCTGGTGGCGGGCACGCACGGAGGGGCAGTGATGGCAAATGGGCCCCATGGATGGGCCAGCCATCATCAGGTGGGCAATTGGCCCACCCAAGGCCAAGACAGAAAGGAAAGCCAGCCAGCCAGCCAGACTCATGGCCTGGGCAGACATGGGGGGATGTGGCAGGAGGCCCACCCAGGCCAGAGCTGAAATGGGGGCCCTGGCCAGATGGTACATCTAGATGCACCAGACAAGGCTGATCTTGGCCACACAGACTCATTTCCACACACAGGGCCATGGCAGTCAGTCACCTCTGGTGGCAGAACCTCACGTCATGCAATTTCCTTCATAGAGTGGCGTGCATCCATCTTCGGGGAGCGTTACGGCTTCCTACATCCATCTTCAGGGAGCGTTATGGCTTCCTATACTTGTTCTTGATGAATAATATTAATTCCCAGTATCTTGTACAAACCAGTGAAGTTGTTTAGGATGATATTTTCATATTCCCTCATCCCTGATCTATTCCTGTCCCCACTGAAATTGTTTGTAAAATTCCCATCCGCTCCAGTGCTAAAGCAACTTCCAAAGCTGGAAACCAGTTTGGCTTACCATGTGGTTTGAAGCAAAGTTTCTTGTTCTTATAAGCAGAGTAGGCCGCTATCGATCCAACAACTAGTATTACGAAAGCAGAAATTATAGGAGATGTAACTCCAGCTATTAATCCTGAATCTGTGGAAACAGAGATTATTTTCAGAGGCATTGAAATGCTTTAACTTAAACATGTTTTCTACTAAGGTGTGCTTTTGCCAAACTATGAGAATTGTTTGGAACCTCACGTCATGCAATTTCCTTCATAGAGTGGCGTGCATCCATCTTCGGGGAGCGTTACGGCTTCCTACACTTGTTCTTGATGAATAATATTAATTCCCAGTATCTTGCACAAACCAGTGAGGTTGTTTAGGATGATATTTTCATATTCCCTCATCACTGACCTATTCCTGTCCCCGCTGAAATTGTTTGTAAAATTCCCATCCGCTCCAGTGCTAAAGCAACTTGGAAAGCTGGAAACCAGTTTGGCTTACCATGTGGTTTGAAGCAAAGTTTCTTGTTCTTATAAGCAGAGTAGGCCGCTATCGATCCAACAACTAGTATTACGAAAGCAGAAATTATAGGAGATGTAACTCCAGCTATTAATCCTGAATCTGTGGAAACAGAGATTATTTTCAGAGGCATTGAAATGCTTTAACTTAAACATGTTTTCTACTAAGGTGTGCTTTTGCCAAACTATGAGAATTGTTTGGTGAAACATTGGAAATTCATTAAATAGAATTAAGCAGAAGATTAGAAATTATGTTACATTATGGCTGGTGTGAAAACTATGTCTTAAAGCCTAATTTAGTATATGTACTACTTCTATAAGGCTAACATTTTCTTACTATTTTATCATGATCAGAAACAAATTATAGAATAAATTATTTACTATACCCGTGTTGCCTCCACGATTGAAATGATGCTCCTCTTCTGCTGGAATAGAGGATGAATTTTCATCAAGAAATGTTTTTTATCTTGGTTTGAGAACAGTCATTACTTAGCACAGTGTGATTTCGTACAGGAAGTGAAAGTGGGTGGCTCAGCAGGGCTGTGGGAGAGGAGCTCCACTTCCAGTCCTGACTGACAGTTGTGCTGGCTGGAGGAATAACCGTCCACCCTCCTGACACTTCATTTTTGGAGAAGAATATTATATTCTAAATGAAGGGGGTGCGGGGAACGGTATACTCTGCCTAGTCTCTACTGGCAGACAATTAGATGATTTATCACTAATTTAAGTCAAGATCATAGGCCCAGTGCATCTACTTGCAGTTCTCAGCAGAAGTCCCTTGCTTTGGGACTCTTTCCTAGCTAAATTCAAAAGGATTGATCCTGAAAGGTTCTGGCATATGGCAGAATGCTACAAAATGTTTAGGAATATGTTTCAAGTTTGAGCTTCAGGCTCAAAGTCATGGTTTGTGGAGAAGGATAACTAAACTAAATAAAAATAGCAGAGTCTTGTCCTATACCTTCAGTGACAAAGAGATTACCACTAAAGCAAAACTCGCCAGCTCCGACTTAAAAGTATTCGGAAGAAGCTGCAAGGAGAATTGTCAAATACTACCTGCTATGTGCGGTGGTAAAGGCTTCCCATCAAGGAGATCTGAGTCATCAAAACCTCCTGTAAAATAGAGATAAGGATTTCTGTTGCAAAATTATCTGATCAATGCTAAAGCCCTCAGGTCCCTTGTCGGGTCTTTTTGTAATGTACTAGTGAGGGGTGAGGCACCTTTGGATTCCCAGATTCGACATGTTGGATGGGTCAGGTGTCTTGCACTGCATGGTCACCTATTCAAATTCACCTGGAAGCTGGAGTACTAAAGCTGTTTGTGTCTACCCATTCTGCATCTCTCTTGGTACCTATGGGATGTGTAGACTTGGGCTCTCAGTAGCACAAATCCTTCTACAATATGGATGCCTCAAATCCCAGTAGTTCCTGGAGCAGGAAGTCCTTTCCAGGAAAGACTAGAAGGATGCCAGAACTACCCGTCCATGGTTCACCGCTACAATCATACCAGAAATAAATATGGGCTACATGGTGGTAGCTCGGGTAGATGTGCCACTTTCACTTTATTTCAGTGGGTGTCTGGGACTACACTCAAAACCAGTACAGATTTACATCCATCTCCACAGTTGTACCTGTTGTGTGCCCCAGGGCCATCTCAGATGCACATCTCAGCCTGGATTTGAACATAGGCACTTGGGAAAACACAATCCAGGACTGCAGCACAGACTGGGATCTACCTGGCTGGAAAGCAGCTCTGTGGAAAGGGACCTGGTGCTCCTGGTGAACAACAAGCTCAATATGAGTGAACAGTGTCCTCCTGTGGCAAATGAAAAAAACCAGTACAGATTTACATCCATCTCCACAGTTGTACCTGTTGTGTGCCCCAGGGCCATCTCAGATGCACATCTCAGCCTGGATTTGAACATAGGCACTTGGGAAAACACAATCCAGGACTGCAGCACAGACTGGGATCTACCTGGCTGGAAAGCAGCTCTGTGGAAAGGGACCTGGTGCTCCTGGTGAACAACAAGCTCAATATGAGTGAACAGTGTCCTCCTGCGGCAAATGAAACCAACAGGATGCTGGGTTGTATCAACAAGGGCATCACCAGCAGAGAGTCATTATTGCACTCAGCGCTTGCCAGGCCACACCTGGAATTCTGTGTTCACTGTTGGTCCCTGCTATATAAAAAATATACGAATAGGATGGAGAGGGTCAAGAGAAAGGCCACCAAGATGATCAAAAGACTGGGAAGCCTGCCATATGAGTAAAGTCTGAGAGAATTGAGTTTATTCAGCCTTGAGAAAAGAAGGCTATGAGGAGACCTTGATAAGGTTCTAGTTCCGTGTTCCAGTATATAAAGGGTAGCCACAAAGAAGATGGAGACTCCCTTTTTACAAGGAGTCACGTGGGAAAGACAAGGGGTAATGGGTACAAGTTAATCCTGGGGAGATTCTGATTGGACACAAGAGGAAAATTTTTCACAATGCAAACAATTAACCGTTGGAATAATCTCCCCAGGGAAGTGGTGGTTTCCCCATAACTAGACACTTTTAAGATTCAGCTGGACATAGTGTTGGGCCATGTTGTCTAGACCATGCTTTTGCCAAGAAAGGTTGTATGAGATGATCCTTGAGGTCCCTTCCAACCTTGTATTCTGCGAACCTATGATTCTATGATAGGCTTATCCACATCCTATGGCTAGATGCCAAATCCGAATGTTAGTTAGCATGGTTTGGTGTACACATACCCAAAATGAAAAGGCAAACAATGTGAGTGTTAGTCTCATGTCACTTAGGAGTCAACATCCCACATTTTGGGCATACAGAAAAGCTTTACAGTACCAACACTAAAGCTCAGAAAAGCTTTCTGAACACTGGGTCAGGAACAGTGATTACAAAATGGAGATGGAGGAAATGGGTGATAAAAACTCTTAATAAAGAAATTAAACTATTTGAAATATCTGCTCTGAACAGCTCATAGTGCTAGATTTTCTTAGGAGAAAATATTCTTACCCGAATTGCTATGGCTTCCCGGTCGTGGTGGAAGAGGTGGGTATAAAGGTTGTCTTGGGATGTCACCTATTGATAATTAATATTGTTAGATAGTTGGACAGGCAAAACTGAGAGCTGTAAATAAATAGTATGATAACCTGAGATTTTATACTTATTTCTAATTTGTCCTTTGGTGAATTAAGAAAGGGACATTTTCCCTAGTTAAAAAGTCTCAAGCACTATACCAGCAAACAGCTAGATACTAGAACTAATTAGAAAGTGAGAAGGGAATATTTTCAAAATTAAAATGAGAGAAGAATTCACAAAAATGTTGAAGGAAAATATTTCTTATATTTCTGGCAAGTGGTGACATTGTTTAATGCTGACAGCTGGGAAGCACCGTGCATTACTGTAGGTGTCAGTGGTGCAGTTCTGCAGAGCCGACAGAGAAGCTGATGTTCTGGGCTGGGCAGGAGGCAACAGGTTGCCTCTGTGCCAGGTGTTAATAAGATCTGCAGGTTAGTTTCATCTAACACATGTTGAATTTATCTAGTGCATGATGAATTTTCAACTCTTGAACGGCACAAAATGGATGCAGACTTCAGCTTTGTTGTTTAGGACTTTGTGCTAGTATTTGGCCATGATTTTTGCCAAAGTATTAGGAAGAGAAGCATTGGTTAGAGCAGGAGATCTGATGACTAATAGCAGTTTCCAAACCGCACATACAGTGCTGGAGTAGCAAGAGCTGACTCAGTTCAAAGTTAACGCCCATGGCTGCTGCTCTGCATATACAGAGGAGGTTCCTTCTTGCAGTCCTTTCTCCAACCAGTTCAGTCACATATTTAACTGTTCTCCGAGCCAGACAGCAAATTTAGCTCTGAATAAATCAAAGCTAGGTCACAGAAATAAATACCAATTTCTCTTCCTCTCCTTAAATCTTTCTTTCCCTGTCAGTACATGCCAGATGCCCTTTTATCTTCTTTTCTTCTTGCCTAGCTGCTAAATATAATGCTTCTGTTTGTGAGGAACGTTTAGGTTCTGAATCAGCAACTTATTTAGATATATGCTTAACTTCAGGCAAGTTTAGCCTACTAGAGTGAATGCATTTTAGGTAGAGTCTTAAAGCTTTGCTGAATCAGACTTTGCCTAATTAATTTTCTTCAATAGAAGGAGAGACTTGTTCTGTTCCAGATCTCTGTGTAAAGAACTAAGACTCCATGGCACAAAAGCACAAAACTACTGATCCCATTATTCATTTCTATTACGATGCTGCACTTACTCAGTCTTCTCTAAGCATAAGAAGATGTATTCTGTGGCATAGCTAGTGAAAAAATAATGTCTTCAGAACTGTTGATAATGAGGTACATATCATAAATCCCATTATACCATGTATGAATGTCAATTAAGAATTTGAACTGAAAATGGAGCAAAGAAATCAAAACTGAGGTAAATATCATTTGCCATCCTCTGAATGAAAGGTGGGTGTTAGTGAAGATGCTTAAGCATTTAATTAAGAATTTAATCAACATACTAAATCCATCTTCTCATAAATGTACCCATTAGAAACTTGCAGGTGTGGAACAGTTAGTATGGGCAGGAAGAAGTGAGAGTATTAACATGGAAATTATAAACAAAATCAGATTCAGCTTTATAAAGTGTGGGCCAACTTGTCATTCAAACATAAGCATGAAATGCAACAGGGTAACCTGGAAATGTGGAAAGCCCTGGAAATGGGAAAGAATAATATAAAAGTTATGATTCTCTACAACTGAAACATTAGTAAACCAGACCACTCTGACTGTAGTCATAAATCAGAGGTTCTGTGTAATGGTCTGAGAAGTAATTTTCTTTTGTCTAGCCTTGATTCAAGTGGAACTTCAGGCTTTGATTCAGTACTACTTGCATTTTAGGTAATTTCAGTGTACAAGAACCTTTCTAGAGCACTTGACGTCCTCTAAATACACTAAACAAAATGTGGTGCAAAAATTTCAAAAGTCAAGGATTTCATACGTCTACGCAGCTCGGCACAGTATTGGGAATACTTCCTGGGTCAGTTCTGGATGTTACAGAAATATTTGGAAGTTACAGCTGGTTACAACAGCTTGGCTGCTTCAAGATTAAGCTACATCATACCCATCAGTGCTCATCTCTGAAAAACATTCCTTTGTGCATTTCTAACTTGGGATTGGCAGAGCTACAAGCAGCTCACACCTCTCTCTAGCCTCTGGTTCCTAATCTTAGGCAGACTCATTTTAGGTAGCTGAAGAAACTACTACCGTCACCTGTTGTCTTCAACCTTCTGCCAGAGGCCACCATCGCAGCTGAATGGGGCATAAATCCTCTCCCCAGCCATGACCTTGGTAGCCTGGCACAGTAATGTAAACCATCACTGACTGCAAGCTCCTGTAGCTGGCAACCAGACACAGCCCATCCTGCTGTCCTCGCTCTGCATGTTGGACTCTGGCAAAAGGTCTGTAGGTACATGAGTTGGCATGACTCCTATCACTACAGTTCCTCCTAGGGTCTTGAAGTCTCTTTTCACAAATTAGGCAGACTTCAGAAAAAGACTACAGAAAAGAGAGTACTCACCCCCACCAAGAGCATCTCCTAAATGCAGATCGTTGTCTAAAAATGGAACAGAGGAAGATGTAGATAAGTGAGTTACACACAATTCTTGAGGGAAGTGGAATGTTAGTTTTAATAGAAAATGTACAACTGAGTGTTTGACAAACAACTTTTTCAGGTCAGTCCCACAAATTCAAATAAGGTATCACACTTTTCTTGAAAACTCCTATAGAATTTAATATATGCTCACACAATAATTGACAAGTGATACTGTATTTTCTACTCAAAATACAAGAGATTTATTCTTGCTTTAAATAAACTCTGAATAAAACCCATAGTGGAATCAAGACCAATACCTCTTTAAAGTATTTGCAGGCACATAAATAAAATTAGCTACGTTAAGGCATAAAAAATCTATCTATTTTTAAAATATACCTATTTATTTACAATCATGTTTGTGGTTAAAACTGGTATATGCACATTTGGCTCAGGTATAATTTGTTCAACTGCAAAAACTGAACACCCATTTCAAGAACAAATAGCAGGAAGAAGTAAGCCTACTTAGGGAGAGAGATTTGAATGAACTAATTTATGTAAGGGTCATGGTGACATAAAAAATTTTGCTTCAAGCGATCATACATGCCTGTCTGAGGTCGGGCGACAGTTTGTTTTTCTTTGGCTGAGTTATAAAAGTTGTAAAATACACTTAAATGTCTGCATGTGCACGTTACACGGAGAATCAACAGGCTATTGCCGTTCCCCCAGCACTGTACACATGTCTCACTGTACCTGGGGTGGAATTTTCCTTCCAGTTAACAGTTTGTCAATGAACTACAGATGCATAAACAAGAGGAACTCCATTTCTAATATGCAGGTGTGGATATGAGCTTGTGGGTGATATTTTAGGGTCTGTATGGAATGGCTGAGAGGTCAGCAAGTAATAGGCAGAAATACATTAAATAGATTTTATAACTGTGAGGATCCCTTTGTTGCTCCTTATAAATGTAGAGTGCTGGAATGAATCAGAGGGAACAGCAAAATCCACCAAAATTTTGATAACGATGCTTATTGCCACAGAAAATTAGGTAGACACTCAAATGTGTTTTTTTCATTATAATTCCAAAAACCCAGGCAAATCCATCTGCATCACTGTGCAAAAGTCTGCCTTCATGTGTTCTTTATATCCAGAGGGAGTGGGAAGCTGCTTTTGCACAGTATCTAGTCTCATTTGTGTAACAACTCAGAAATGCTTTGATATCACCAGGAAATCTGGCAGGAAAATAATCAAATTCATACAATGTGACTTGGTTTGCTCTTTTTAAGCCAGGTGTTGATCCTGTCTGTGTCCAGCCAGCAGAGAGCTGCTTTTCAAGAATACCTTTACATATGAAATGCTAACACTGTAAGAAGCAATAAATTGCAAATTGAATTCAATCTATTATGGGCATGAAGAATTCAGGTAAAATGCAGGGTTCCACTCTGGAGGGTTCATGCAGAGATTTGTTACAGAAATGTTAAGGTTGGTGTGAATGAAATACAAATGGAATTGTGTGTGTGCCTGTAGGGACCAGAAAAAAAAATGCAGAGTGGAGGGTTAAAAGAACAGACAATAAAGGTCACCATTCCCAGCAGTAAAATTGAGGAATGTGTTGTTTCTGTCAAAACCAGCAGGCCTGCACTCCGATAAGACGACAGCGCAGACGAAGAAGAGCAGAAGGGAACTCCAACGTCAAAGGTTGCAGCATATCACCTATTCCACTATTTTTCCTGTTCGCCCACCCAGAAAATGTACTGCAGACATAGCCTGTGTACCCCAAACAAGTAAAACCAGACAGTCACCTGCAGTGACCTTGGCCTAGGGTTCAGAGATGCTGAAGTAAGCAAGATTATGAGGCAAAGGACCTTTCCATAGTAGCTGATGACTCCTAAAGGAGTACATCTGTACATAAACTAGCTTCTCATTTCTGACTAGGAAGAACCACAGAGACAGGATAAGCTGGTGTACCTGGTCCTGTGGTGCTCACCAGACCACCTGAGCACCCACTCAGGTGCTCATGAGTATGTGGGTTTGAGTGTATGGCTGAATTAAATCAACAGCAGGACGAATGTGAGTGGGTGAAATCAACTTATTTAGAGATTTTGTAAATAAACATCACCTTCTCCTTCCATTAAGTTTTGTGTTGAACTTTATTACACTAGATTGGGGGTGCCTACGGGAGAGCTTCAACTCAGACAGATGTTTCTATGAGGGAAGTGATGCCCAGAGGACATGGCCTGTACAATAATTGGCCCCAGCTCAACCAAAGTCATCATCTCAGCCAGCCTCATTTCTTAATGATACTGGCTGAAAGAGAGAAAGAGGAAACCCTGAAGTTAAGATGAAGCATCAGACAGATGCTAGGACATACTTAACACTGTTTTTTAAAATTAGTTTTAATTGCTTTTAAATTTCCTGCAGTCCTCTTCAGTGCTGAAAGAGATTCCAAATTCATCTGGAAAATATGGGAGTTCTTCTTTCCCAAGAGTTAGTGAAGTTGATTCAGGTAGGGCAGATAATCATCTGATGGTCATATCTCTAACAGATTTAGGAGTCCCTAAAAATGAAATTCCTTTCACCTGACTGAGGTAGCTTCACTGTTGATACTGGCATCCCTGGGTTACTTTTAAACATGACTGAGGATGGAGTCTTTTAGGGCACAATTCAAGTAACCTACTTAAGATGTCTATATTAGGATGGGAACAAATCCACAGTTAGAGCGATATGAACTGTCCCTAGACATGCTGATTTGTCTCCACAGACTTCAAAGGAAGTCAGGACAGTGAGATAAGTAGAGGTCAGTGGCTTAGCAATACTTTAAAATGGACACTTCTCCTCTAGGACAAACACAGATTTTCGTTGCAAAATGAAGTGGGAAGGAAGAATGCAACCATTACAGGATCTAGTAGCTACCACATTTGCAAAATGCTGCCTTGTTTGCTCAAAGAGCAAGCCAGAGAATTATGTGGAAAATGTAACTGCTTTTGTATACCTAAAGACTTATTGCATTGTTTATCCAGAAAAAGACTGAAAGTTGTGGGAGCTCATGTCATCCAGCATTTCCTAATTCAAGCATTTTGTTTGATAGTCAGAAATGTCTTTCAGTGCAGTTTAGCTGAAAAATCTCTGTTATAATAAAGTTCCATCATAAATGCATATATGGTTTTGTTGTTGGTTGGGCTTTGGGTTTTTTCAGCAATAATGAATGTTAATTGGAAATCGTCATTTGTCGTCCTCAGGACCACAGCTAAAACACTCTGGTCCTTCCCACTGTTCAGAGTCTCTTGTTTTCTGACACAGGCTTTTGTAGCAATCAATTCTAATTAGTATTAAGTAAACACGGTGAGAAGAAATAATACCCAAATTCCTTCTGATTCTTTTCCACATCCACTATTAAGCATCATGAATATTTATGGTAAAAGAAAAAACAATGGAAAAAAAGTAGAACAGTTACTCATTTTTATCAACAGCTATCCATTATTATACTCCCCTGGGAGTTCAATATAGGCTGGAAAAGCATGAAGAAGAACTTCAGGAAATAAAATGCCACTAGTGGCTGGCCATGCTCTGAAGTCTTACTGGAAGCAGTAAAGACATGTAATTGGTAATTATCCAAAGCCCACTTACTTTACATACGGAAGCCAGCTATTCACACAAACAATCTCAGCTACAGTACATTAGCAAAGATGATCAAGAATCTCATGGGAAACAGTTTCTACTTATCTAAAATCAGCTATGGCCGTTGTTCTCATTACTCACTCAGCACAGGCCTTGTCGGTCTTCTGATCACTGTAGGTCTCCTGGTAATTATGTCCTCTGTGGGACACAAAAACATTCCAATAAACAATAACAGCTTAAACTTTTTCGACTTATCAAAAGAAGGTATCTGCATATCTATAGAGCTGCATTCAATAAATCTTTATGTATGTTTTCAAAGCCTTTTTTGTTTTATTTTGTTTAAAAAAGAAAATTAAGTTTTATGACAGAAACATTGAAATGTAGCATTTCTCATTTCTGTGTATCTTTAACTTAAGTACTAGGCACTTCATATTCCAGTCCTCGAAGGAAAAGGACTTAAGATTTATTATTTGGTCTAAATGCCACAGTAAAAGAAGGACAGGAGATTTACCTACCTGGGTGATCAAGAGCATCAGCTAAATCAAAATCACGTTGACCTAGAAGGAAGGTGACAAAAGGAAAGAGACTAAGTCAGTGGGCAGGTTTACATGACCTCCAGATGTGAGGGCTCTGGAAAAAGCCAGAACACCAGTCAGAGGCAAAAGAGGAATCCATCCCAACAAGAACAGGCAGAGAGTGAGCTGTCGGCCGTTGCCCCTGTGCACTGCAGTCCTGAATGACCGTGCGAGACGGGCTCATTTAATTCAAAGAAGCTGTTCAAAGAAGCAAAGAGAAGCTGCTCTCTCATGTTATGGCTCTTCAGGCGCTGTGCAAACATGCCTCTGAAGGGCACAGGTTGTCTGTTACAGGGCAAAAGGACTATTGCTGGGAGATGGCTGAAAGTAGCATTCAGCACAGTATTTGCAAACCAGGATCACTAGGTAAGAGCTTTAACTATTTTCATTATTATTTTATTAGCTCAGCTTCAGAAAGCTGCTTTACTGGCAAGCCTGCCTTACAGTCACTTGTAACATGAATCAAGTTTTTTTTTTAATTCTTCCTGTAATGTGGCAGCGGTAAAAAATACAAAGATGAGTTTTCCTAATTTAGTTTCCACTGTACCTTAAAAAATATGAAAGGGGAGAAGAGAACCCTTCCTGTTCTGTGTTAGGTGACAATGATGTCATAAAATGTCACAGTGAGGCATTAGCACCCTGGCTCTTGAAGTTAGCAGGTAAATAAAACTGGAAAATGTTTTAAATGTATAAACTGAAGCATACAACTTTGAACCGAGCAAACACAGCTATTCATGGGAGTTTTACTTCCACTCTCTAAAGTCTGCCCCTTTCCTTTTCACACACAGCCCTCATGAAACATCTCTTTGCAGAGTATGTATCTGTGAGTTTTCATCCAGACTGAAACTTCACCATCCTTGTGTTTTGCACACCAAATACCAGATCACCCTGCACAAACCTGCAAAAAGTCACGACATGCCATGGCTTCCCTAAGCAGTTTGACTGTGCTCTTTCGAGTAAGCCTCTTCATCTGCATCTCTTTATTATCCTGTCTAAAAGCCTTAATACCTAACTCTTTAATGAAGTGTTTTTCTTTGTAAGTCTTGAATGCTTCACAGCAAGAAAGACATCATTGTTCAAGCAGGGAAACTGAGGAACAGAGAGAGGTTCAGAGGTTCTCCAGCACAACAGCACTCTGCGTTCAGCTCAGCCCTCTCTTCTCAACAGATGCTGTCCATCTTCATGGCATTCTTCACATTAATTACTGTTCCTGAATAATAGCTGTCACCTGTGTCAAAGAGCTCCTGGAAAGATTAATTATCAGTGCTAGAACACTATGTGATCCTCAGATAAAAATCAGCACAGAAGCATAAAGTAGAAATGTTTGGATTCCCATGAGGATTTTCACGTAAATCTGTGAACTTAATTATAGCCAGTGTCTGACAGAAAAGATAAAACGAGGGTGGAATGCAAAATAGTGAGTGGCTTCTAAAGCACAACTGTCCCTATAAGATACTATGAAAAACCTGTGTTTGGAAAGGAAAAGCAGGTAACAGCATTAAGCTTTCCCATTTATGTTAGTGGAGTAGCATTTTGTCTCTTATTTGAACTGATCTTGGAGTGTCACCTTGTCCAACTACTTCTTCCCCTGCCCTGGCTGCTTAGCCAACCTAGGTAAGACCAATAAGCTTTGTTAGATGGATAACATTCCAAGACCCTAACAGGTTGTGGGGTTTTCTTTATATGAATCTATTAAAATGCATAAATACATAAAATTGACAAGTGCCTTCCTCAGAAGATATTCCCTGATGAAGCTCTGAGGACATCACCAGCCCTTGCTGGTGCTGAACCCCTGCCATGCCATGGGGTCACTTGATCCCAGTGCAGACTCCTACCTGCAAGCTGAAATCCCAGCATTGCCTCAACTTATACGGTCATTTTATATTTTTCTGAAGCATTTCTTCGGTGGTGACAATACAAGTGTCTTAAGTTTGACTGTCCTTTGATTTTGTCCTCTGGGTAAATCGTCATTCTTAACCGGCATCCTGAGTGCTGCAGGAGGTTGAGTGACCTGAGCCCTGCTGCTGCAGGATACTGCTGGCAGGATTCAAACCATTTCTCATTGGAGTGAGTCATCAGAAATAATTTCAGAACACCAAAGAGCTGTTGGCCAAACCAGCTCCTTCGTTACGAGTCCTGACAGGCAGGAACTAACGATACTGAAAGTGGCTACCGAGGTCCTAACGCTGTAAAGAGAATGTGACAAAATCGTATTGTGAAGGAAGACTGGAAAATTTCCAGGTACATTATTTCTTTGAAGTCAGGGAAATGAATAAAACAGAAGAAGGAATCTAATCAAAAGAGCATATGGAATTCAAACAAGATGATGCAGACGCTTCCAATTGCATGAGAACCAAAGCAAAACAGCATACTGAAACAGTTACTAACATCTGCCCTTCTCCTGGGCAATAGCAATGTTTCCCTCTCCTGTTGTATGTCTGCTCTGTTATCAAAAAAGTGGGAAAAGACAAGAGGTGTTCTCTTTTGAGAGAGCAACAGAGAAATAGAAGACAACTACAGAAATTTTAAGAAGAGAAAAAAGAAGCCTAAAAATCCCCTGCAGAAATTATTCAGATTGATTTTTTTTTAATTATTTCTCATGATAAACCAAGTAATAAAATAAACAGACATGGCCACAGAATGACTGATTGAGAGTGAGACAGGAATCTACATTGAAATCTCTTTGGCTGTGTAAATATAAACCTTGACAGATGGGGAATTTGTATGTGGACATCTGTGCAGCGTGGTAAATGATATTCCAATAAACCAAAAGATTGCTTGGACTTCCATCCCGGCTTCCTCCGGTAATAACATCAAATGACCGCAAGGAGTAAGATTTTGTGGAGCAGAATTTTAAATGCTCATTACCATTTCTGAGACTGCACCTAGACATTTAAAGAATCTAATTTGGAAGGATAACAGATGGTTAAATAGCTGAACAGCCCAGATTTCATCCACAAAATGGTGGGTCTAAAAACAAAAACACATTAGAGACTCAGAGAATATTTAGCTCAATAGGAACTGCAGTCACTTCAGGGAACTTGGAAGATAAATGACAACAGAAATAAATTAGTCGAGCTTCTTCACAGAACAAACAGACTGAAAGAAATTCATTTTCCACACACAAAAATGGCTTTTTTCTTTTTTTTTTCTTTTTGAACCAGCTTTCATAACAGAAACAGCTGGAAATATACTGATGAAAATGAGAACGAAAGAAACTTTAGTGGGGAGAAAACAGCTTTGTTCCTTTGGGGTTTTTTATTTGGCTGGGGTTTTCTTTTGCGTGGTTTCTGTTGATTTTTTTTTTTTAACCTGCATAAAGTTACAAAGAGATTTAGCTATGCAAGAGGTATTATCTTAGAGTTATCTCTGTTATTCCTGCTTCGGGCTAGTATGCTATTTCTTGGCATCTCTTCTCACTTTTCTTCTGAGAGTATCCCTGGTTTTACATAGAAATGAAATGATTGTAATAATGTTTTTTGTTGGGTGGTCCACAATGATTCATAGCAGAGAATTTGAGAAAATGCTTATAAGCTCCTGCATGACACCACAGAACCATCCTTATCTGCAAATGAGAAAGTCTTAAGCTAAGAAAGCAAGTCTTCCGGATGGATAATACAGTTTGTATTGCAAAAGGACCTGTTTTAATTATGTTTACACTAGCTGCACAAACACAATGAACTGTACAAACAGCAGGACTTCTGCTGGCATTGCCAACCTTATTTGGGATGTAGTTCTCTCATCTCTACCCAACACATGTAGCTGTGTCTATAAAAATCTGAAGCTTAGACCTGGCCTAGATAGTTAAGAGTAGACTTCTCTGTAGCAGGCAGACAGGGGAGAATAGATTCCATAAAGCCAAGCACCAAAATACAGTATCTTAAATTTCAAAGTTACTACATCTATTTTTATAGGCATGATTCTTTCAGGTAGGACACTTGCTTTCATTAATGCCTGTACTTTCTATGAGCATTTTAAGTGAAATGTATAGAAGGCTGGTGATATAAGATGCTTGTTAGTCTGCTTATTCTGCTATGGAGTCTGGTATGGTTGCTGTTTGCCACAGGAACACTGAGCCAGCTTTTAGTAAGTTTCCTTGAATATAAGACACATCCTGCTGAAGCATCACAGAGGTGAGGTCATCTTGCCCCACCAAGGCAGTTTCCTGCAATGTCCTGTCCTCAGGCCCATATTAGTTTTCTGAAAATGGGACCCAAATATCTGGTCACCAAAATGCAGACAGCAGTGTCTTTTGCCTATGGTTGAATTTGTGACCTGAATGTAAAATGGACGTGTCGCCCTTTACCTGTGAGCTGATTGATCATAAGGGTCTGAGGTCCCACGGTTTTTGAGCAGGATTTACAAGGAACAGGGCTGGATTCTGCAGGTGGATGTTACCTATTCATCATTATGTCTGTAGTCTGAAGTTTTCTGACAAAAGGCTGCCGTGGCATCACTCTGAAATTTTTAGACTCTGTAAGTTGGTTGGTCCTGCACTGGATCCATATGAACACAGCTTCTGGCCATTTAAATGAAGCACGTTTAGATAAGGCAGTATGAATATTGTTAATTGAGAATCAGGTTATGTGGCAGATGAAATGAACCTCTCAGGCATTTATTTAATATGTATAGTCTAATATTAAAAATGAAGATAAGGCCCAGGAGAAAACATGTCTTTATGTGTATATACATGTGTGTGGACATACATCTTAAATGCCTACATGCACATGTGTTATATAAATCTTTTTGTCATTAATATGATTAAATTAATGGGCTTTGAGTGCATGGCTATCGGTCATATGATTGGGATGAGATTATCTATGTTACAAATAAATTAGAAGCAACTAACTTAGAAACGTAAGCTAGGTAGAAGGAGACAAGTTGATTTTACATTACTTAAAAACAAGAACAAAAATTATTTCTTCAGAATGATTAAATAAGAATTGGTTTGTGAATACAATGAGCTTAAAATATGAAACTGG